GTTATTGAAATGTTTTTTTTAATAATGACATGTATGTATATTATCACGGACGCTTTCTGTATAACAGAGCGATATTTTAACAAAGAAAGCCTTCCTTTATGGTACTTATAGTACCAAATTATTTTCTGTATTACTTTCATCACCATAATTCTTTTCTGAAGTACTTTTATTACCAGAAATCATTTTCGTAGTGCTTTCTCTACCAGTATCCTTTGCGGTAGCGTATTTATGACCATAATCCTTTTTGGTAGGGCTTTCAATACCAGAATTCTTATCGGTACTACTTTCAGTGCCATAATCCTTTTTGTTAGTGCTTTCATTACCCAGAATCTTTTGCGGCAGTGCATTTATGACCATAATCCTTATCGGTACTACTTTTAGTACCAGAATTCTTTTGGGTGGTACTTTCATTACCAGAATCCTCATCGGTAGTGCTTTCAACACCAGAATGATTTTCGGTGATGATTTTCTTTCCAGAATCCTTTTAGTTTGAAGTAACGGTTTTAAAAATAATATTTTTATGTCAAAATGATTATATTCTAGTATTATTTTTGTTTTTAAGAATTTTATTCTAAATTAAGAATATGAAAAATCATCTCAAAAGGTATTGTTCGAAGTGTAAGATTAAATGTTAGCAATTGCTTTTGATGTCTGACATTAGTACGGTATCATTGGCAGGYACAGAAAGGTGGCCATTACCGTTACAATTGTTTCKATTTTTGCCGTTTTTATTTGGTAAAAATGTTGCACTCTCTTTCTGCAATAGTCTCTTTGGGCACAAAAACTTCAGGCAGGCCCTCTTYAAATCTTGGTTCATAACGGTGTAAAGAATGGGGTTGATGGCAGACTTTGAATACATCAGAAATAGAAATCCTTTGAAATATTTCACATCTACTTTGATGGATGAAAATTTCAGTAGAGTCATCACTATGAAGAAAGGCAGCCAACAAATTAAGAAAATTCCACCAATCAACGCCAACAGTGCCACCACACGAAGCTCTTTCTTACGAGTTGTAGACGAGCAGGAATTCTCGAACGGTGTGTTCTCGTTTCTCATTCTTTTTATCTGTTCTTTGGCCGTAAAGAATATATTGCTGTAGCTCCAGAACATGATTATTGATGGTATAATAAAGACAAATAGCCACAGTGCACAAATGTAAGCGACTTCCGCGTGRTAGTACTCCTTAGCGACCGCGCCACTTTTACATATKATGTCCGGTGTCCGCCAGAATATTGGTGGRCATGAGATTACAACACTTCCAACCCAGAGGCCGGTGATTACCCGTCGCGCATGCGCGGGTGTCATTGTTGTTATATAATGAAATGGTTTGACAATGACGAAGTACTGGTTCATTGCGACTGCGCAGAGGTTGAACACCGAAGCTGCGCCGAAGAGAACCCCAAACGGTGTAGTTATGTAGCATAGAAAACTGTGTGGGTACCAGTCTCTTTCGAGTGTTGCGACSAGAGTTGTCGTCATTTTGAGCAGCGCGTGGAGGAGGTCTGAGAYCGACATGCTGATTATGAATCTAAAAAGAAAGAAGATTAAAGTTGAGTTTTTGATCTTCCCTAAGGGTAAAAGTAAAAATACAAAAAGAACCAAATTATATGGRAATTAATAATCATTTACTACGGTCATTTTTTCATAGTGTCTGTTACATTATGAATATTAGCTTTTTCGCCTAAGGTAAATTCACAAACGGCGAAAATATAAATGCTTAAACACTATTCTTTTCTTTTTTTGTTGTTATTGTTGTTGTTGCTACTATTTACGGTGCTTCGAAACATTCTCCAACCCTGTAGTTCAAGAAGTATTGGAAGAAATTTTTGAAATAGCTGTGCTGTTGTCGTTTTTTTATAGTTAGTGTTGTTGTTGCTGTTGTTATTGCTATTGCTGTTGTTGTTGTTGCTGTTGCTGTTTTGTAGTAAATAGTGGAAAGTGTTGAACACATTTAATGTTTGTACTCTAATAAGAATCTGCTATGGTTTGTTGGCATACTTACATGTTGATAACATTGTGTAGCTGTGGGCTTCTTTGAATCACCCAACAAACAAGCCCGTTTGCTGTGATTGCCACAAATATGACCAATGCATACAATACCACTTGTATYGTAGTACTGGGGTCTAATTGCCTTGAAGATTCTGCTGACTGGTTAYTCGTGAGTATTGCAGACGTGTTAAGCTCCATTCGTRTTCGGTTATWTAWAAWTKMTYCAGTTAAATTCGTACAGTGGRCATTTTAWAACTGAAATTTCAAGCAAAAAAAGATGTATTAAACACCCGCAAATATCACTTAAAGAGCTAATCTAAAATGGCTCKTTCCCATTAATTAATAGGCGCTCTTTACACAAACAAAGTCGTGTGAACAACTTCCTCTACAACGATTAATTTATGGCTTCAAATGTAAATGCAGAAATCTGAAAACGAGAGTACTAAAATTAATATTTTTGAGAAGTTTCAGGTGAATGAATTGATTAAGAGACAAATAAACTCGAAACGAAGGTCAAGAAGTTTCTAAATAATAGTTCAGAGTATTCAAGGAGGATTTGATTAGCCTAAAATAAACAAACAGTGGCGATCTAAAAAGAGCGGGAAAACTGCGAAAATATTGACGCGCGCGCTTGGCCAGGTTCTTTTGACAGTCAAAGTATTGATTAATAAGAGTGGRCGCTCTACAGACTTGTTATATAAATAATGTTGCTAAAATTACCTSTACGAAACTTTAAAAGTTCTTAAAATGAATAATGATGACAAAAAAAGAAAGAATGGTGGTAAATACTACTGACGTTCAAGGTGACTTTGCTAATAATTGCTCTAAAAAAGGCGTACTTTTGATAAATTCGTTTGGATCGAAATATCAGATATATAATTCCAAATCTACTGAAAATGACTGAATTATTGGCACTGCGTTGTCATTTTTTTTACCGCAAAAAAATGTCTTTTGATCACAACCTTACTTTGAGGAGTTGAAATGCTAATTCAAAYGATACAAATATAGAAAATTTTGAGGACATCCAAAAGTGTAGCAGTCTTTTGTTAAACTAATAAAGTGATTGATTTTGTTAATTATCAAGTTAAAAAGACCTTAATCCGTAAAATTTGAATTGAGTTATACCTCGCTTTCCACAAAAATAACGAAACATGTATCATTATAGCTCATATGTTCGAAATTTTATCAGAAAAAATACTTTATCTTTACGCCCAGTTACCTTAGATTCTCTTTTTASCTTTCAGAAAAAGCAAAGATTCTTCAATTGAAGCATTGCACAGCAGATTAAATCGYAGACTTTTCGGATACGTCTAAATATGATATTTCGTAGCAAGTTCGTGTTTATATCCGTTAGTGTTGTTTCGATACTAACATATTGACATACAAAGCTTCCTAGCTCATTTGGTTTATGCCTGAAGGGTTAGTTCAAAGACGCCGTGTGAGTATATTGAAACTCTCTTAATGAATGACCCTAATCTGCCATCAACCTGATGCGAGAGACATGAATCTGYAAGCGGTATATTCGTAACGATTTGGTTTGAACAATGGTTTATATGAAAAAATGCCAGGTTTTTCTATGTTATTCACAAATATATGAAATATCAGTTTCTGTGGGGGTTTCTGGGCACCAGAAGCCAGTCATTGTTTAAATATCTTAGGAATTTATGGCATCTGTGGCATGTAGTAAGCAAATAACAAGCCCTAGAGGAAAACCGACCCACTTTTAGTATTGTACACAAAAGAACCACAAACAATCCCCTGTTCGGTTTTAATCGTACACAGCTATTTCAGAGACAGTTGAGTCTGGAGATAATGTGCGTATCGAAATGCATTATGGTAGTCGTGTCGCCGCTAAAATGGGATTTCGCTGTTTCTGAATGACCATGTCAGATCGCTACCTTTGATGGAAAATAGTTTATTTAAGAATTGACACTTTTTTACGTAACTTACGTGAAATCCCATAGGAATGATGCATTTAGGTCTCGAAATACGTTTTGGAGCATCACTGACCTTTCAATACTTTTCAAATAGGTGGAAATTAGTGGTAAACTAGTGTGAGCTGCGTCGGTGTTTCTAAAGAAACAGTTGTTTTAAAGATAATTGAAAACCGTAAAAAAGTATAGGTGAAACAACTTACTGACGTCTCGGGCGTTAATCCTTCGTCGGAGTAAAGGAGTTTGACCTACTTTTTTACGGTGTAAAATTCATCTTTTTACACAACTGTTACTTTTCAAACAGATGTATTCACTAATGACTGAAAAAGGGAAAATGCGAGATTGTCAACTGAAAATAGGTATCAACTACTTCTCATATAAACGCTTTTTCTATTTATTGTGATAAATCACTTTTGCTATCGACAGCTATTGCTTGTGTATTCTTCCGACTCTCACCTTTATATAAGGTTTTACGTTTATGCAGCCCATCTTAAAGATCTTTAAGGTACGTTGTCTACCTTAAAAGATATCTCCAGTGCACCAATTGCCATGTGACATTTGCACTTTCCGTTCGTGTTAAATACATGTAGTCTAGAATGTCAGTCTAGAATGTCAGTCGCCGGGTTTTGCTTCGCCCCACTTCTGCCACCTCATTATATTTTGATTGCGTTTCACTTTAGAAAGACATATGCATCTTGTAATTGAGAAAACTAGACTTGCGCGCGTTCTTGGTTGTCACACTCCGCGCTATAAATGTTTTGGCTCAAAAGATGCCGTTTTAAAAGATTGCATTTCTTGATAACCTTGCAATAGACGCTTTTGCTCTCTAGGTAACCGCATTGTTATTATTATTTCCCAAGGCCTACTCAAATAATATTGCATACTAGTACCATTCCAACACTGAGAGGACGACTAATTACACGAG